CCCCCCCCCCCCCCCCAACCCTCCGCCGCTGGCGACTACAAGGATACTTAAAGGGTGGATTGCATAAAAGGAGGTTAAAAGGAAGTTAAAGGAGCTAAAGGGGCTAAAGGAGGTTAAAAGGAAGTTAAAGGAGCTAAAGGAGGTTAAAAGGAGGTTAAAGGAGCTAAAGGAGGTTAAAAGCTCCATTACGCTAAAGTCAGTTTTATGCAATCCACCCAATGTTTCCGGATTGACTTCTACCCCCCTTTACACGCGCTTCTGCTTTCCCGCGGACTCTCCCGTCGAGTTGTACAGTGCCAGTGCCTTCGCTCGGGAAGAATGTCGCTCCATTGGCTTCACTCGTTGGGGTACCTCTTCGCAATTAGCGATGATTGCAATTACTCGGTTAATCTCCAGCAACGTTGACGACAGGTGGGCAAAAGTTAATCCGGGAACACTGCACGCAAAATCAAAGATCGAGAAAGATTCCTCTGGCAGAGATTTGAACGTTTTCCTATCTCTCAGAATGAATCGAGTAAAGACTTCGTCGTGAGATCGGGAGATTTCTACTGAAGGAACAGAAGTTTTTTTAGTCTCGTGGGAGCAAGAAAAATATGAAAAACGACCGTTTCTATGGCTCCAGAACTCATTTCATTCATCGCTCCATCTATTGCTCTTCCTCATTGTTGTCTGTGTTATCTGATGGATGATTCCAGATTAGTCTCTTGCAGAGGAGGCAAGCATGAAAAACGAACCCTGAAATGGCGTTCAGATGCCTTGCATTGAGATCTGCTGACAGAAGTGGCGAATTTTGCCTCATGTGCCAAAGGGAGCAGTGTAGCAGAAAGGGAGGCTGCCAAGGCTGGTGAGGGAGGGTTAGTTCTCTGGGGTGAAATATTCCCTCAGATGGGGCATAATGATAAAAGGACTGGGGGGGGGGGGGGGGGGGGGGGGGTAGTCTCCCACCCCTCTGTAAAATACCCCATTTTCAGTGTTCACTATGCACTTTGTCGCTTGAAATGTATTTGTCTTGTAATTAAATGGGATCGGATGCTACAGCTTCGGGAGGGAATGATATTGGTTTCAACTAAAATCACTCCTACATTGTAGGACGGAGTTTTGGATTTATAATTATTGATACATTAATAAGATGTAAAATCTCTTCAATGGGGTACAGGTAAGAGCAGAAGCCCTTCCATGGTAAAAGCAGCAGGGAATTGTCTATTTTCGGACACGATGTCGAAGGACACATTCTCCTATGCAATTTTTCGAACACTTCAAAGAGATATCCCAGGAAAATGTTCTTGTCGACAGGCCTTTCAAAGATGAAGTGAAATACCGCACCCGTACCGGTCGATATCGCCGCTATGAGGGCGACATTGCCAGTGGCAACCTTTGCTCTCCCAGGAAAATTTTTCATGGATGACAAAAATGCATATAATATTTGGAACCCTAGTGAGACTCGAAAGAGATGTATAAAAGGCTTCCATCAAGGCCAAGCTAGCCACCAACGGTATTGATTGAGTCCAAATCAAGAAGTTGATTTTTTTTAATGATATTTTTTTTTCTTGCCGTGCCCTGAGGTTTCTTCGGAATTTTCTGCAAATGTGCAGGTTTTGCGTAGGTGTGTTCAGTTTGTGTGGAGATTCCTCAACCTAGATAAATTCTGCTCTCTCTGTCACTTCCATCATCTCTTTATTAATGATGTACGAGAAATAGTACGTCATGATACTATTTCTACTGTTGTCATGGAAATGAGAGTCACAATAATACAATAATACACAATAAATAATAATATGTCTTATGACTTTAATTTTTGACAGTAGAGCGACTTCACTTTAATTTATTTTTAATCAAGCGTTATGGATTTCTATGGCTAGAGAAATTCTTGATTCGCAATGTACTATCACTGCTGGTTTGTTCCAGGAAATAGGTATCTCATCCAAGACTTTTGGCAACCTTGGTTCTCTTGAACATGTCATCTATGGTTTAGAGGTCAATGTTTGTTAAAAGCCCTGTCACATGAGTCACAGGGCCCTTTGATGAGTTTCTTCATATGAGTTGCGATCAGTTCCTCTGATCCTAGGAGTGCGGAATGGCATCGATACGATGTGCGGGCTTTTCAAGAGGTGACCACTATCTCTGGACACAATACTTGCAGGGTTATCCAGAAGTAGGTTTATATGAAGGAACATGTGGTCTATCGTAGACGTTGAAACCAACTCCCCTGCACCTCCGTACATTGTTCCAGACGACTGATCACCTATCTGCAGGCTATATGACATGTCCTCGCCTCATACGTGACATACGTCTTGCCTAATAAGTGAAACTCAACCGCACAAAACTCCTGTAGTCTGGAGTTCGTGATCCTCTTCGTAATACTCACGATCTTCGTTAACCTCCAGCAATCCGTAGGGGTTAGATCCGGGGAGCAAGGTCTATTGGTCCTCGTCGATTGCGCATAGAGAAAATATCATCCAATATTTGCCATCTGCCATTGCCAATTTTTCCATATAAATCTACTTCTGCACTAGCCTGTATTTTTTTTTCGCCAATAAAGATTGCCATCTGTCAGCCATTTATGATCTGAGATCGGTGGCAGCGATCAGTACTGAATCTCTTTAATCCCCAGGTTTTTCATTACTGTCGGCAGAGAGCCTTCCCTGTTTCTGGAAAATCCTTTTCCGCAGTCTGTCTAAAGCGATATAATCCTTTTTGGGGTTCATGGCGTCGTAGGATGAGGAAGCGCGAGAAGAAAGATCAATGGGGAGGAGTCTCCTCTCGGTCAGACCGCATTTGTGAAAGCTGAGAGCGGAAGAGCGACGCGAGCACATTCGACGCGGTAGCCTCTTCCACATTGAGGGAACGATTATTTATGTCATTGAAATAAGTTTTGTTGTTTTCG